GTTTAGAAATTAACTATTTGTAATCCCATTGATTTCATATGGTTAAAAAAACAGTTTACATGTAATGACTCTACATAGGTCATGTGGTGTAACCGTTAAGTAAAAATAACCTATTTTATGTGACTGTACACATTATTTTCAAAAAATGCTCAAATTCACTTCTCAAGGTAAAAAGTTTTTTTTTCCATGCATAATTCATAATCATTGCAATTTGGGGAGTTGCACCACATGACATTTTACAGCCTCAGCTAGCCTTGTCTTGACATAAAAAGGTCGAATTATCTGATATTTTCAGACTTATTGACCTTGACAGTATCTTTATGATGTAATTTCCTTTTTTATGTTTTTGTCTGCATGTTGGTTGCACCACATGACTGATTAACAGACAGGTTTTTTTTTTTTTATTAAATATTAACAAGTACTGAAGCAGAGTTTTGTGAAAGTATAATATTTAATGGGAATGTGACCTGAGAAATTTTAATCAAAGTTTGCACTATAGGTTAGACAACCTGTTGCTTTGTCAATTAAATTCTTGAAATATATATAATATCAATGTATGATTGTATATAATGATTTTGATCCGAAAAACAACCTATTATATTTTAGTCATCCCCTGGTCTCTAGATATCTGCATCGGTCCTTTAAACACCCATATCAGTCAACAACTACCACAGAGAACAAGGTTAGTCAGTCTACAACATGCCATGACAGTTATACAGAACCTGATGCACAATCCAATTCACACTCAAACAAACAGGACCACATGCAGAATTCAGCCTCTGCACCAAATAAAGTTCAGATTTACATCAATCTAAATTAAAAGCTCAGAATCGAAACGTATCACACTGCCTTCCTGTTGCACTGTTGTAACCGGAGCCCTTTCGAGCAATGCACCACTACAGTCCAACCATGCCCCGTAAACACAACACCATCTACACTCAGCCAAACCGCCCATCTCACTCACTAACCCTGAACAAGATCAAACCCGCCAGCTTCAACCTTTTTACATTGTTTCAAAGTGGAACTTACTGATTGTACATCTATTCCATCCTCCATTGCAGTGTTCGCCCTGCAGTCCTGAACGATCCCGGTAATCAATGAGCTAGAGTTTGGAATCGGCCACTCCGGAGATGCATTAAAGCTGAAAACTGAAAACAGTCCTTGTTAACTTTGAGATACTATGACTACGTATAAAGGAAGTTAGGACGTTCCCGGGCACAGTCCAGAAGCATTACTCTACCCTATGTGCTGCACAAATCCACTTTATCATCAATACGGATGCAGGACATTAGCACTGTTAGCCATTCCCAGCTGTCACCCACTGCTCCAACCAGCTCCGCATGCTTTATCGGATGGGACGGCACTTACCATATTTGTAGGCACTAGTGGTCTCTCTCCTGGCTGAGTGTAATCATGATCTGGTGGACCGAAATAGCAGCGGGCCCCTCCGTGCAGCAGGCCTCCCCGACTGGAATCTGTCCTGCTCGAGTCTTATTGTCATCCTGCTTATCAGCTCTTTTTACGCGCCCCCCTCCCGTCCCCTCCGCTGCACAAATACCCCGGCACAGGCGGACAGATTCAGCACAACTCCACCCGCTGCTACTGTTAGGAGCCAGTCAGCCATGCTGGAGTACAGCAGCCCAGCTTAAGGGGGATTTTGGGGCATTTCCCCAGGTATTATGACTAGTTTGCCCCTGTCTTTTATCTCTCTCTCTCTTGCTCGCTGTGCTCTGGGAGGTTGCAGCAGTCTCTGCCCGCATCAGCAACATTACACCACCAGCACCAGCCACCCCCCCTCGCCACCCA